GCTCATACGAAGGCAAGTGAACGTGATGTCGAAAGACATCCGTGGGGTTGTCTGGCAACACTGTGGAATGGCGAGAGGGGTAAATGAAGGCCCGAAGACAGATCAACTCTACGGCGAAGGGTTGGCTATTGTTGTTGTTGGTTTACACCAATGTCAACACCCCACGAGCTATCAGATAATTATGCGGGCATCCTTTCACGCAAGATTCGCCTAGCTTGGTACAGATCAAGACGAGAGTAGTACTTAGTAGATAGTCCAGCCATTTATAATCATGGGCCTTTTCAGAACTTTTGTAGGTATTATAGACTTAATGGGAATGACTTCGTCACGAATCAGAGCTCAGGCTAGCTGGTGGGTAGCTCTTGACTGAGTAAATCATACAAGTTTGTGTAGTTACTCTATTCTATATTTCACCTAGTCCTCGCGGTCTCACTCTCCTTATTACAGGCCGCGACGCCCACTATGTCAACACCTAGAGAATATATAGAGTTACAGAATGTTCATGAAAAAAGAGATCAATGGTATACCTTTGCTAAGTACGTGGTAGAATCAAGCTAAGAGGATATACAATTTCTGTTGTATATAAGTTTTGATACTTATAAGGCGTATTAAGCTGGTGTCTAAGGGGAAACCTCATCATCGTTGTCGTTCCACAGCAGTTCCGGCCTATCACTAGCAATAACGGCATGGAAACCTGTTTTGTTCAGGGACGCAAGAAGTTTACACAGTATAATTGGGTGAGACAGCAGGCGTTGAGATAGGCCTTGCCTTGGAGCTCCAGGTGATGAGCCCACATCCGGCATGTGCTTGCGTGCCCGCATCTATCGTATATCCGTTTTCCGTGCTGTACGGCTAGACAAGGGGCCTTTCCGTACTTCATATACATATAATGAATACTCTCAGCTCTACATCGGTATTTTGATCACCCCAATGGCAGCACCTTTATATCTTGAACCTCGTTCGACTATAAGGGCATGTACTGCAAACATGGCTAGGTATAAAAGCTAGTACGGCAATAAGTACTGCGCTACTACTTATAAACTAATCATCGGTCATTCGTCGCATATAATACGTATCCCCTACCGTTATAACCTCGACGATGTACACGCGCGGTCATGAAATTCACTCGCTGCTACATTCTTCCGACAACATTTAATTGTTATCTGAAACAAGAGTGATGCTGGAGTCTGTATCACTAGAATCGGTCTGTATGTCAACTTAAGCATGGTCGTGAGTAAGGGCTTCGGCAGCTACTTGTTCAAAAGCCAGGGTGAGTTTGAGGCTTGCCGTAATACAAAACACCATTAACACGCTGCAGCACTTTTAGTCGATGTAATCCATAGTCTCACCGACCTCGTTAGCGGTTTCCTTACTCTTGCAACTGTGGTCTAGTCACTTAAGCCTGCTTCGCACCGATTCCCTAACGGCTATGGAAAAATCGAGAGGCTATGTGCACTAGGAGTTAGTATGATCCTACTGTCAGGAGGTTTCTAATGGGATGAGAGGCTTTAGTTGTGCTGGTTCAGTAGTTCTTTCCAGAAGCCGCTCGAATGGCAGGGCATTGAGGACTTGTCCCTCACAACCATGGACATGACCATAGCGCAGAAGACCTGGGCCCAGATATCAACGCTATATGACTTACTGTAGGCTCTGTATTCATCAAAGAGTGGCTGTATTACGCTAAGAAGTCTACTATAACTCGTTATGGCTCTTTGGCTAAACCTATATAGCTCTCAAGTTTGCGAAAGAGCGCCAATCAGCCGTCCTTGCATCTAACGCCTACCACCACCGCATGGGCTCGCTCACTGCATTGATAATACTACTTCTCGTTCCTGGATTGAACTTCCTTACAAGGCATAATGGTTGGACCCAACTGGTGGTCTTGTCATCTCAGTTATGATGATCTAAGCTAGCTAGGGGAACGTTAAGCAAGCAGTACTCGAACTGGCCGATGTCGGTATAGACGCTGAGATAAAGCGCGACGTTCGACAGGTCGTCACTACAGCGATAGATGGAATCACAGCCGTCTTTAAGCAAATGAACGTTGGTGCTATCCAGGGCATGAAGGCCGGTTAGAACTATCTGATTGACATGGAGCTTGGGGTCCCCAAGACCTGGACAGTGAGCTAAATACACGGCATCGAAGGATTGGTTCGAGAATGCGTCGGTACAAAGATGCGTGGGACCAAGAGGGCCCGCATACAATTCATCAGCAAAACTGCATACGAACTAGACTTCTTTGATGAGTTTATCCCGGAAGATTCCGGTGCCGTGTCGAGTCGAAGCACAAGACCACGACAATCACAACAAAGTGACATGAATCGCAGCAGAAAAAAAGGAAATGAGGTTCTCCACAATGTCTTCTTGTATATGGGATTTCCAGGGCACATAAGCGTGGAAAAAGGACCATCTAGGTACACATGATGAGTCTACAATGATGCAGTTTCCCATTCTCTTTTTCACAAATCGAGTGGTTCTCGGTTCTTTTTTCATTTCACCCTTATGGAGATTGTGTCTCTATGAGCGTCTCTCCACGGAACCGGCATCCTGGCGGCGGATCATGCCACAAGACCGACCGGGGACGCCTGGTGGGGAGCTGGCCCAAGGGTAGTGGGTCAATACGACCTGACGAAGGTTACTTGCTCAAGACCACGGTCCGAGATCTGGCTCGTCGATAATGAGGGATCTTTGGTTCTTCGACATCAAACCCCTTCATTGTTAACAAGAAATGTTTGAACGTGAGTATGCTCAGATGTCCTCATCCCGGTTGTGAGTTGGCTATACCCGCTTGGTAAGCGCCAGCAAAATCAAGCTGACCCAGTTTTCCGTTGATTTGGTCAATCTCCCTGTTCAAATCGTCCAAGTTCTGCACCAGACTTGACACTTCGTCAAATCTGCGATGTTTGGTAGCGTCAGAGACCATCTCTGATACCATGAACTTCTGTTCTTCAAGCACAATCAGTCGTTCTCTGAGCTCCTTCTCCTCTGACTCCATGGCTGACACTTCGCTACTACTAACGACACTACCGGTAGAGCGGTCGTTGTACTTGATCGAGGCCAAGGCACTGCCTCCGTTTGGACGTCCTTGAGGAGCAGCGTGTTTGAGGATCTTGGGAAGCGACCTCAAGGGTAGCATATGCAGGCTCAGGAAGCTGTAGGCTTGTTGATATACGGCTTTTTGTAGTTTTTGCTGCGTGGGCGAGTCGGTCGGCAGGTCGCGTATCCGTTTGGCGGCAACATCAAACTGAGCGAATCCGTCCATAAGCCTTTTGCGGACCTTTGTGGCATCGGTCAGTTGTTGGGGCGTAGGCGACTTGTCTGGATCCTGCAGCGCTTGCAGTAGCTTATGGAAACGAGGGAGAAGCAGCCGAATTCCCCTTTCAAACTGGGCAAGGTTCTCGTAAGCGCGCTGATCCTTGGGCTTGGTGGCGAGTTCTCTCTCAAAGTCGTTTCTAGCAAATAAAGTGTGTTGACAGTCCTTGCACATGCGCACCTCAACGCTGACCTGCCCTGCTTCTTTTTCCGTATTTTGAGCACTAGACGAGGCAACATTCAAGCCAACTTGTGTTGAACACGCAGTCTTCGGGTCGCTGCAGACTACGCGGCCGCACATGCGACAGTGCGACCGTCTAAATGTATATGTTGAAAACTCCTGCTGGCAAAAGGGGCAGTTTGGGACTTTTGCGTCTTCTTCCCAGGTAATGATGGACTGCTCGAGAGCCTTGCGCTGGTTCTTGGCGCTAGGCAGCGAGAACCAGCTGCCTGAGGCGGGAGTGTCGTCTACGGGCGGCGGGTTTGCGAGGAGCTGTGTGAGCTTGGTCAGGCGCTTCTCAAGACGGCTGACTTCCATGCGCTCCCTGTCTACATGTTTTTGTCTGATCTTTACGAACTCGTCAAAATGATTGCGCTCCAGGCCGCGGTGGTCGTTGTATCCAGCTCTTGACTTGTAGCAGGTCTCGCAGACGCGGCACCAAATGCCCCTCACAGGGTCATGTTTGGCCTGTCGCGACAATTTCATCTGGTACATGGTGTGCTCTTCGCAGAACAGTCTACCGCACTGCCTGCAGTTGACAGCGGGCTGACCTCCGCCGAGAGTCATTGGCGAGGCGGTAATGGGGCGGGCGCAGAGGGGGTCCGCGCAGACATCGCGGTATGCGGGTCTCTGCCAGTGCGCGCGGGTAACGTCCTCGTCTGGGTCTCGGCGGACGGCGGCGGGCTCGTAGACGGCGACATGGGCGGTGGAGCTGGAGGCCGAGTGGGAGGCGTGGTGGGGGGTGTGAGGGGCGTCGTTAGACTCGAAGACATCGAGGCCTTTGAGTTTCTGGTTGAGGACGGCGAGGGGCTGAAACTTCTTGGCCTTGTGCATCTGCGCCTCGAACCAATTCTTGACCTCGTCCTGCTCCTCGACAACCAGGTTCTGGTGCGTGTCGTCGAGGTGTCTAGTGATTCATCGTCAGGGCTGATAGGATAGAAAGTTGGCACATGTCGGGTACCTGTTAAGCTGCAGCAGCGTGACCTGAACGGTTAGCTGGGCGTTTGGTCGGCCGGCGTTGGGGGACGCACCATTTCGTCGCTGCAGATAGGGCAGATGAGCCTGGTTGAGGCACTGGCTTGCGGCGAGGGCGTATTGGCAGCGGCGAGCACTCTGCTACCAATGTCGTCTCTAGGCTCGGCTGTGGTGGCAGGGCTGTTGGATGTCTGGGAGCTCAGCGATACGGAGCTCTCAGAGGGCGAGAGGAGTAGGTTGGGCGTGGCCGTGATAGTCGTGGCGGCGGCGGGTGACAGGTTTCTCCCGCTCCCCAGCACGCGGCCGCCGCCCAAGGACCTGCGCGAGGCCATGATGGCGAGTGTCGAGGAGAGGCTCCGTCGGGGGGCATGTGGTGTCGAAGGCGGAGTGGGAGTGGAGTGGAGTGATGAAGTTGAGTGTATGGCCACTGCGCGCTAGTAGGAGTAATGCATGCTTGCTCCGCCGTCATCCATCCCATCTCCGCGTTGCGCCCCATCGTCTCCGCAACACCGCAACCGCACCGCATTATGAAAGGCCCTTACCCCGAGATCCAGGGCGGTGGCTCGCTGATCCTGGCCTGGCAGATCCGCAACAAGCGCGTCTTGGTTGTCGGCGGCGGCGAGGTGAGTGCTGTCATGTATTGACGACCTACCAATCTATGTATTGACCATTGACACAAAGTCAAGGTTGCTGCCGGGCGCATCGTGAATGTACTCAACGCCGACGCCAAAATCACCGTCGTCTCCCCCCGCGAAGGTCTTAACGACGAGGTCGCCTATCGCATCGACCAGGGCCAGGTCGATTATGTCGACCGCAAGTTCGAGCCCTCGGATCTCGACGGTGTTGACATGGTCCTGACTGCCGTGGATGACCCAGAAGCCTCGTCGCAGATCTACAAGCTGTGCAAGGAGAGGCGCATCGCTGCAAACATCGCAGATGTCCCTCCTGAATGCGACTTTTACTTTGGCAGCGTCCACCGCGACGGGCCTCTGCAAATCATGGTCAGCACCAATGGCAACGGGCCCAAGCTCGCAAACATTGTCAGGAGACAGATCGCCGCCGGCCTCCCTCACAACATTGGGAATGCTGTTCAGAGAGTCGGCATGCTGCGAAAGAAGCTCAGAAAGGTTGCGCCCACTATAGAAGAAGGCCCCAAGCGCATGCAGTGGTATGTGACTTGCCCTGGCTGACTCACCCGTCCGTCCTTTTGCTTACGCAGTCCCGTTACAGGATGTCCAAAGTCTGCGAGCAATACTCACTCGATGACCTCTGCGCCATGACCGAAGAGGACATGGAGATGCTGCTGGGCTTTTACAAACCCGGCACTGTTCCCTCGCTCGAAGCAGTCCGCCTACAAGAGCCAGACGGTGCCTACGATGGGCCTTTTCTGATATGACGGTATTCTACACGGCGTTTGGTAGACAGTGGTAGGTGCACATACGGGTTACGGCAACGCCATTCTCATATTCTTGTATATCAATTGTAGAGTGTCTGGTACTAAAGATTATTTTTCTCCAATCACTCCATCACCAAAGTCACCACCAATCAGGCCGGGTTGGTCCGTGCACTACCCACTTAACTTTGCTCTTCTCATGTCTCACATGCTCGACTCCATCACTGCACTCGCTGGCACATTTACCTATCCCAATACCAATGCTCCTCGAGCAGCGGCCCCCGTATGACACGGTCGACTTCAAAGCGCTTGCCAAAAGCGACAATGACTTTAAGCAGATATGGCAGCGCGCCTTAGGCAAGCTCGACTTTCAAGACCCACACACTGTTCAAGCCTTATCCAAGGCAATTCTGAAATCAGACTTTGGTCTTGAACTTGACGTTCCGGATGACCGCCTCTGCCCACCAATACCGAATCGTTGGAACTATGTCGCCTGGATACAGGGCCTGGTCGACTCTACATCTCCAGACTATTCCAACAAATATGACCCCAACCGCCACGTACAGGGACTAGATATAGGAACCGGTGCATCTGCCATATACACCATGCTATGTCTGCGATCGCGCCCAAACTGGTCCATGTGCGCTACGGACATTGATAAAAAGAGTTTCGACTCAGCCGCCCGCAACCTTGCTCTCAATCACTTGATGACACGTACAAAGCTCCTTCAAACCACTGCTCTCACCCCTCTAATTCCTCTGGCTGCCCTTGGTCTCACCCATCTCGACTTTACAATATGCAACCCACCCTTTTTCGCAACCCCTTCTGAAATGCGATCCAGTCTCGCGGGTGAGGGCAAGAGCAGCAAGCCCAACGCCATCTGTACCGGGTCTGAAAACGAAATGGTATCTCCTGGTGGCGACGTTGGTTTCGTGACTGCCCTTGTCAACGAGAGTCTGGTGCTCCGAGAAAAGGTTCAATGGTACAGCAGTTTGTTTGGTAAAATGGATAGCGCAAAAGCTATCATCCGCCTACTAAAGCAGCACGGAATTACCAACTGGGCCGTAGGCGTAATTGAAGCAGGAGCAAGCGGTACGAAGCGGTGGATCGTAGCATGGAGTTTTGGGGATCTGCGACCGAGAAATGTATGTCTTTCCGCAATATTCACCATAAAACTGATGCATTCTTGTTTTACTATTCAATCCGTTGCAGAATCTACCATGAAAGCTGATACTAACCCTGCTGCAGAGCCACGCCCGCATAGAAAAAATGGCAAACGAATACCTCCCCTTCCCAACATGCTATCCCATTACCTTACCTCCTTCCATCGACCCCCAGCAGGCCAAAGACGCCATTACTACTCAAATGGCCTCGCTTGACCTTCTTAGCTGGACCTGGGATCCCTCAACGTGTACTGGTATTGGCGAGGCGGCGCAAAACGTGTGGAGTCGGTCTTACAGACGCATTTACGAAAAAAGAGTGAAGGAGGAGAGTGGTGTTGATGAGATGCAAGGGACCGATGAAGAGGGCGAGAGAATGCAAGTTAAGCTGTCGTTTAGGATCAGGGTTGTCGACTTGGCAAGGGAGGTGGTAGTGGAGTGGGTCAAGGGAAGGGACCAGGTCTTGTGGGAGAGCGTGTGTGGGCTTGTGCATAGGCATTTCAAAAAGACCTGAGGTGCCGACATGGTGTACAGGGTCCTTTTGCTTTTCTTGATGCTGAGTGTGTGTATGATGTCCATCCATGCATTCATATCCTCGGCTGGTTTCCTATGATCAAGCCATACTGACCTTGCATATCAACCACGTCAAGGTCGAATCGAGCCTTTCTCCTCAACCCTCAAAAACTCGTACTTCACGCTAACCATCTCCCTCCCCCCAAACCCACGCCTCAAGAAACCGGCCCACTCCAAAACATATCCTTCCCCATCTCTTCCGCTATCCCCTTAGCCATCGGCGCCGCATCCCCTTCCCCCTTTCTTCCCCCACAAAGCTTGGTTTCCTGAGCTGTATCTTTATTACTTCCTTTCTCCCGACTCCACATGAAAACACCTCCACCCACTTCTCCTCTCGCAGCCCTATTGACACGATGCAACATTCCGCCATGCAAATCCCCCTTCAACTCCTCCACGCGATCCACATCCTCTGTCGTAAACTGGAACGTCGTCCATGCGTGCACTTTTGCTTCTAGCCCAGGTGGTGCGCGGCCTTGCGGAGTGATTACTGGGGCTGTCGTGTGGCGGTGGAGCAGGGCTGTATCGCGGTCTGAGGGTGCGGCCGTGTCACGGTCGAAGCGTGTGGCGCCTAGGTCATGGAGTTCGGTGGTGGGGGTGAAGGGTTTGGTGGTGTTGGTGGGGGGGTTTGAGGACATGTTTTGGGAATGATGTTAGGTGGATTGATGGAATGTTTTCCTTCTTTAAGGATTTGAAGAATCTGGATTAATTTGAGCAATTGGAGACTAGAGGAGATATATAGTGGATCTGCGGGTGTAGACTGGGAGTTAGTGGGATAGGCGAGGAAGGAGCGATCTGGAGAGTGAGTCTGAGTTGTTTGCCTGAACTTTACCGCATTGTCATTGTACAATAGGAAGACTTTTGGTAGAATAGAATAGAGGCATGTTTCAATGGTACACGGGTGAGAGGAAAATAGGGAACAATATTCATACATGCTGGAGACAGTTGTATACTATTAGTGGGAGAGAAGAGAGCACTGTGTGTGAACTCAATATTTAGCCAACAAATATCCATACTACTTCACCACATAGCCACTCATAGACCAAGACCAACATCTACCACTTGTGCACACTCGCAATGACTCTCCTTACTCTCCCGATCCTCCCATTCCAGCGCCCTCCGCCACTCCTCAGCCCTCTGCTGCTGCAACCTCATATTCTTCACAACATCCGACTCCTCTCTCACCCACTTCTCATACCCCGCCCACTCTCCCTCACCAACCCTCTTCGCAGTCGCTACGCTCCTTCCTGCAGGAGACGCATTAAATCCCCCTCCACCTTGCACCCACACCTGCAGCAGGCCCGAGCAAAAGATCTCCGCAATAGCAGCCTGTTTCTTTCGAAACAGCAAAAAGATAACGTACCAATCCATGCTAAACTGCTGCGTAAACACCCCACTTCGATGCAGATAGCAACATATATCCTCGACGAGATTCATAATGTAGTTTGATGACTGCCGCAGCCTGTGCTGGCGGAGTCGACAGTGAGAGTGCCGCGAGTATCCGACTTCAGCTGGGGGACAAATAAAAGGTGTGTCGCGGAGGGATGTAGGGGTGTCAAGCCAGCGCTGGTGGGCATCGTTGCAGAAACGGTGGAGGGTTTCTGGGCGCTTTGCTGAGCGTGATTTGGTACTATTAGTAGTATGGAGGTATTTGCGGTGGCCGTTGTTGGAGGAGTGCTCTGGCACAGGGGGATGCGTCATGTTGTCTACGTGCCATGCGTGCTGCGAGACGGTATTTTCGGCTAGATAGTCCTGCACCATGTTGCTGATGGTGAGGTACTGGCTCGGTGTTGGTGGTGTGCCCTGGGTGTCTGTTAGAAAGTGAGCATAGATGGAAGGTTGATAGTGTGCTCGGTCTGAGAGGGCTGTGTATTCGCTTTGGAGCTCTGGGTCGGTTAGGAGCCTAGAGAGTAGATTCCCGGCTATGGCGGCTGTAAAGATTAGATGCTGAGGCAAGAATTAGTGCACATTCGCGCATGTGATGGGCCATGTTTGTAGTGTCGATCACGGTGCTGTTTGTGTATTTGGGAAGCTCCTGCTCCAGCACTTCAGTAATCAGTGGTTAGTATTGGTTGGAGCGGAGAAGTTGGTTTATTCTCTGCCTCTGGTAAGCGAGAGGTTCGGCTCTTGTTGTTGGCATTCGGATAGGTTGGCAAATGGGCCCCGGAATACAAGTATTGATTGTAGTCGTTTGTATTGATCGAGTATGATTTGTTGTTTTTTTAGTATTTGGGCTTTCGTAGAAGATCAAAGAGGATGTTTACAATTTTGCTAGGCACTGGGTAAATCAATCCGCCATTATGTATACATTTTCATGGTAACACAGATTGCAGATATGCGACAGTTCAAAAGCTTCTTCACACATATTTACTCAAGAAGTAGCTTGGAGAATCGAAAATATTGCATAGAAACCTGCGTAATTGAATAGATTCTGACAGTTGCTGCATGAGTCATGCGTATGCAAAGATAGTGAAGAGACATCTCTCAGTGAATATAGAATACGTAGCACATGCCAGCGTGCTAGCGTACTGGTGGTCGCGACAAGCAATCTTCGGTCATATCTCGGATTTTCCTTGCGAGGTATGTGGCGTAAGAGTCAGCCTCTACCAACCCAGATGTAATCCAGAAAAAAGTCGATGCACTAAGTGTAGAGAAATAGTGACAAAAGAGCGGGACGTAACGATACTGGTCAAGTGTGGCGTTTGTGGCTGGTGAAGTTACCACTAGTGTGTTTGACTCAAGTACCCCTCCAGACCATTGATAGAGCCCCTCCAAGCTGCACACGAGCTGCATTGTAGCCCACACACCACTTAGCAGGTAAGCCATTACTCTTGACGCGAATCCGTATGCCTCACCCATTATCACTACTGGCGAAGATTCTCTGAAAATATCCCAAGCATATCTATTCAATACCAGCAAAGTCCTAACATCGCGTAGACATGTCTGAACCCTCAGCTACTGCACCACCGCCCAACGAGGAGGAGAAGGGTCCCTCCAAGCGTGCCCTTGAAAAGGCCGCGAAAAAGGCTGCTGCAAAGGCAAAAAAGGCCGAGCATGCCCTGCGACCCAAAGAGCAGGCAAAGCCTAGCGCAAAGAGCGAGCCGACCAACATCTTCTCCGAAGGTTGGCTGAAGCGAATTTACGAAGAGAAGCCCGTCACAGAAGTCCGCACTCGTTTCCCGCCCGAGCCCAATGGCTTCCTTCACATCGGACACGCAAAAGCCATTGCAGTAGACTTCGGTTTCGCAAAGCACCACAACGGCAAGTGCTATCTGCGCTACGACGACACCAATCCCGAGAAAGAAGACGAGATCTATTTCACGGCAATCCTGGACGTTGTCAAGTGGTTAGGATTTGAGCCCTGGAAGATTACCTACAGCAGCGACAATTTCGACAAGCTGTACGAGCTGGCAGAACAGCTAATCAACAAGGACGGCGCATATGTCTGCCACTGTTCTCGTACGTTCAGCCGCAAATAACTGAAAGTTACAATCTAACCAGCATACAGGAGAGGAAATCAACAACCAGCGTGGCGGACCCGACAATCGCGGTAAACGCTATGCCTGTGCTCACCGCACGCGGCCCATTGAAGAGTCCATCACCGAATTCCGAGCAATGCGCGACGGCAAATACAAGGCCGGAGAGGCATTCCTCCGAATGAAGCAAAAGTTGACGGATCCAGACGAGGGCAACCCGCAGATGTGGGACCTCCCAGCCTACCGCGTTGTAAAGGAAAACTACCACCACAGGACAGGCGACAAGTGGAGAATCTACCCTACATACGACTTTACCCACTGCATTTGTGATGCTCTGGAAGGCATTACTCATTCCATGTGTACTGTTGAATTCCGCCAGTCTCGTGTTTCTTACGACTGGCTGCTGGAACAACTGGACATGAAGGTCCCCAAGTCGGAAGAGAAGGGACCCATGCAAAGAGAGTGAGTGCGCTTTTTGCTCTCTGCGTTTTGTATTACTAAGAAAAGCAGATTTGGCCGACTCAGTGTTGGCGGTACGATCTTGTCGAAGCGACGCATCCTCCAGCTCGTTGAGGGAACTGAGGTCGAGAAGAAGAATGCTGATGGCACAGTTGAGACAAAGAAGATCCCACCAGCGGTGCGGGGGTGGGACGATCCTCGCCTCTTTACCATGGTCGCTCTCCGCCGCCGCGGTATTCCAGCCAAGGCTATGCTTAACTTTGTCGACGAGCTCGGCGTCACAGATGCACTCTCTGAAATCGAGCCTCCGCGTTTCGAAGCCTCAATCAGGAAGCATCTGGAACGAACTGTGCCACGCCAAATGCTAGTACTTGATCCCATCAAGGTCATCATTGAAGACTTCGCTACCGAGGACGAGCAGGAGCTTACTGTGCCATACGACCCAAAGGGCACGATTCCAGGAGAGCGAAAAGTCAAGGTTGGTAGTGCAGTCTACATAGATCGCACTGACTTCAGAGAGGAAGACAGTGAAGACTACTTCCGTCTGGCACCCAACAAGGCTGTTGGTTTGTACAATGTGCCATTTTCGATCCGCGCTACATCCTTCTCCAAGGACGAAAATGGCAATGTCGCCGAGATCAAAGCAGTCAAAGCTCCAGCCACTGAGAAGCCAAAAGCTTACATCCAGTGGGTGGATGCAGCAACTGCTGTCCCTGTCACTGCACGTCTGTACAACTCACTCTTCAAGACCGAGTCTCCAAACACGTTGGACTGGAAAGCAGGAGGCTGGGCGGACGATCTCAACCCGAACTCCGAGATCATCTACAGCAAGGCCGTCATCGAGAAGGGTATCAGAAACCTCATCAATGAGACATCATTGGACTTGAGCGGCTCTTCGGACGCTCTTGTCCGTTTCCAGGCACTGCGCACGGCTTACTTCTGTGTTGATATCGATTCGACGGAGAATAATATTGTGCTCAATCAGATTGTGAGCCTTAGGGAGGACAAGGGTAAATGAGCGTCTAGAACCTCCGTGTTTAAATATAGATTGTAGCTCCGGGCGCAGTGGGCCTGTAATCAAGAGGCGTTGCGGGAGTACAAGGAATAGCTGCGCTGTTTTGGGTGCCTGTCGTCTTTTAAGGCTGTTGGTCAGAAAATACCACACTGTTGCCCCCACGTCCTCTTCCTTGCACCTCTTGGCAAACCAAGTCATTCCTAGAGATTAGTATACATTTGCAATGCTGCTTCAACTTCAGCGTATATCCACAAGTGTGTGGGGGCCAAAAAGGGGGGTAGCAGTATCATTGGCTTGACATCGCGACTAGCTCTGCTGCGTCAGCTTGGTCACTGGCTTCGATGCCTGTCTACAACCGTCTAGCCATTTCTCAGATTGCTGTTTAACGGAATTTTTTTCCCAAAAAATTCTCGGTTCTGCAAAAGTGGTGCCATCCTTCGTGACCAGTTGAACTGCATCACCATCAGTCATGTTGTTCAGCTGCACGCATCATGCTATTCCAGGGAAAGGTGCTAGAATTCATTCGAACACACGACATGCAGACTTTAAATTTAGTTGACACAAGTCGCAGATTTGTTTTTGAAAAAAGAAAAAGAAAAACTCGAAAAAAACACCCTCATTTACGGTACTCTCTTTTTGACTTGAATTGTGCCCTAGTATTCCGTAAGTGGGTGGAGCTTGGATTCGGGTCGTTCCGAGGCTGCATTATGCATTCGAACTATTCTCCAATCACAAGACAACTTGCACGCCCTTCAAGCCCGCCCCGCTGCCATAATCAACCGGGTGTTTAGATAATCCATTGTTGCCACGAATACGACCCGTTTCTCATTATCACCAACGATTCTAGCCGGAAATATCAGATCCAGGGTTTCGCGCATCATCCTGGCCAAGGGAGCGACTAGACATCGACTGAAGGCAGCCGTCTTAGTGACCATCTCCACACCGATTTTACCTTGTAATTTTTATTGTGCCCTGGGTTATGTCTTTCCTTGTAACTGGATAGAGTATCTCTTTCCATGATGGTAGATGCACCAAATCAGTCAAAGAACAGTACCCCGAATTTGGCCAGTCCTTTTTCACCGCCAAACCAGCCGCAGAGAAGAGATACTTCAGTCGCAACCATGGCACGGCAATACGAGTTCTTCGTGACGACGACAAAGCCACATCTGCCAAACGGAGCCGAACGGGGCATGATTCGTCGACTAGTCATGCGTAACTTCTTCGATACGAAAATAACTGCGCCGCAGGCGGATATTCCAGAGCAAAGCTCAGCAACCACCGTCATGGCAAGAAATCAGCTAAGTAGTCGGTTTCGAGTCCAAAGATCGAAAAACGACAACGCGACCAAAGGCGGAAAACTGGTGTCCAAGAATGGAAAAGGCAAAACCAAGGGGAAAAGACGTTCGTCGCCCATAGGTACGACAGAAGCCCATCTCATGAATCAAATAACAGGAAAAGGATACTTTACAGCAAAAGATGCAAAAGGAAGATCGAGAGAAGGGACAGTCGAATCGATATTGAAAATTCCCAAGTTACGGATAGATCCAAGCGCTCACCGTATCGATCCTTTTGACATCTTGCCGATACCAGGGACACCACATTTCGATATGTTATTTCAGCTATGTACGTGTGACTTGGAAGAAGACCTCCTTCCAGAGGGAACGCATATCGAAGTCAGCCTTTTATGCTAAAATTCTCTTAGACAAAAGCGCACCCAAAACTAATTCCATTGCTATTGACGCCAAAAATACATGGCCAATCTGGGCCATCCATGATGCAGGCCTTTTGCATGCTACGCTAGCAACGTGGGCAATATACGGAGTGCTCGCAAAGGGCCTTAGCGAGCTACATTGCTGTCATCTCAAGCACAAAAGTGATGCCATCAATGCCATTAGTTCCAAGCTCACAGAGCCTGATGGAGTCGTCTCAGACGAGGTTATTGGTACTGTCTTGACACTTGCAAGTTTTGAGGTTGGACTCCATCTTCAGTTTTGGTTACTGCGCATCTGCTGACTACAGTTAGAATCTTTTCGGAGCATACGATACCGCTCAAATGCATTTAATGGCTCTAAATCAAATGTTGACTGCGAGAGGTGGATTATTCGCACTTGGGCACAACGATGGCTTGCTGCGCGGCATTCTATGGTGAGTTCCCAGTACGCAAGACAACCGATCCGATTGCTGAGACGTTCATTGCTAGGGCAGATTTCCATACTGCTGCGGCCTTCCGGACACCGCCTTCATTCCCGCTTGTGTGCCTTGATCCAGATGCACCTCTCCTCCCTGACGAACTCATGGAAGAAGCAGCGTACAAATCACCCACATCTCTGCTTCAGTTGTCCCTTGCTGCGACAGAGTGTTTTAATATCTTTTACCGCTTACATCGAATCGCCCTAGCAATGTCCTCACATTGGTCTGGAAAGGTTCCCCGACTTACGCTAAGCAACCTCCTCTACGATATGCAACACATTGTTCTCTCTGTTCCCGATCGATCGCGCGACTTTATCGAGTTTGACAGAGAAGTCCAAGCCGGCAGAAACGAGGGCGAAGAGAACCAGAGAAAGAGAGCAGATGCAGCAAGTGTGGTCGAGGGTCTTCTCGCTGCAACACTGATCTTTGTATATACTGCCTTACGGGGATTGCCAGCCAATGCGAAGATCCTTGCCATTCTCCTGGGTCGGCTGCGCATCGCCATCAATCGACCCGCAACTTCAGCCGTAGAGGTATGGGGACGCGAAAAGAACTTGAAGACGCTGGTCTGGGTGTTGGTCGTGGCATGTTCGGTTGTGAAATCGGATGAAGATCGCGCTTGGTGGATTTCGAAGCTTTCTGGCGTGTGTGGTATACTGGGGATTGAACGCCAGGCTGAGCTGGAAGATACCATGCAGCATATAGCCTGGATTGATGTATTCTTCAATCGTAAACTAGATAAGATATGGGAAGAGATGACACTGTAGTTAGTTACAGTGATAGACATGTTGGTTGGAACTGCCAAGGAAGATACGCAGGGCGATATGCAAGGTTGAACATAGGCATATCAAAGATGGAGGGATGGCACATCTATCTAACCGTGATGCCTAGAAGATAGTGGCGGTGATGGCTCTTCCCAATAGTTGCAATCAAAGCATCTTGTTATATCTGTGACAAGTAGTTTTGAGTGCACAACGAGTAGAAGTAAGGATTGACGGTAGGGCGTGTTTCGCGCTAGTCCGGATCGGGCATCTGGTGGTGAAGTTCCCCGACACGTGGGTCGGGAAAACTAGTGCCGACGCCCACGCGATGGCGATTGCGGCGGGCATTAAACTCGGATTTGAAAGACTGACGTTCGTTTGGACACGACACCACCAACGATGGCGCCGCTTGTCGACAACCCCCAGATCAAGCAGGCCAGCCTGCACAACCCGCTGCCATTGCAGCTGCACACGTACATCTGGCCCTTTCTGATAATATGGCCAGCCTTCTCGGCCATATACTTTTCGCCCCAGCGCTATGAACAATACATCCAGTCGTCAGAATGGACTTTTGTCTGGATTGCCACCATCACCACGTTCCAGTCGCTGTTCTGGCTCATGACGCACTGGAATGTTAACCTCAAGAGCGCCTTCACCACCACCTCGGCCAGCGACGTGCGCAGCGCCCAGCTTATCAAAGTGCAGCCCATCAAGAACGCCGGCGCTGCCGAGATTGTCAAATTGGTCCGCGACAACGTTGGCGGGAAGCCCAACATTTCTTTCCTCTTCCAAAAGCGACGTTTCCTCTATGACGCCGACAAGGGCTCCTTCGCCCCGCTCGCGTACGCCCTCGACGCCGAGCCCAAGCCGGAGCTGAAGACATTCCAACAGGCACAGGGCCTCACCTCCCCCGCCGAGATCGAACGCCTGCAGCAGCACTATGGCGACAACGCATTCGATATCCCCGTCCCCACATTTACCGAGCTGTTCAAAGAACACGCTGTCGCTCCCTTCTTCGTCTTCCAGGTTTTCTGCGTTGGGCTGTGGATGCTTGATGAATACTGGTACTACTCCCTCTTCACACTCTTCATGCTGGTCGTTTTCGAGAGCACCGTTGTGTGGCAGAGACAGCGAACACTGAATGAGTTCCGTGGCATGAGCATCAAGCCTTATGAGATTTTGGCATACAGGCAGAAGCAATGGCAAGAGATTATGAGCGACAAGCTGCTTCCGGGCGATGTTGTCAGCGTAGGCAGGACCAAGGAAGACTCTGGTGTCGCATGCGACATGCTCCTACTCGAAGGCTCGGCTATCGTCAACGAGGCTATGCTGTCAGGAGAGAGTACTCCTGTGCTCAAGGAATCGGTACAACTGCGACCTGGCGATGCGCGCATCGAGCCCGAGGGTCTGGACAAGAACTCGTTCCTCTGGGGTGGCACCAAGGTCCTCCAAGTCTCACACGGAAGCAACATTGAGGAAGATGGCGCTGTTGTTCCGAAACTCGCATCTGGAGTTCCCCCACCACCGGACAAGGGTGCCGTTGCTGTCGTCGTCAAGACTGGATTCGAGACCAACCAAGGAAGCCTTGTCAGAACTATGATCTTCGCTACCGAGCGTGTTTCCGCCAACAATGTCGAAGCCCTCTTTTTCATCCTCTTCCTTACTGTCTTCGCCGTCGCCGCCTCGTGGTACGTGTGGCAAGAGGGTGTTAGGCTAGACCGCCAGCGCAACAAGCTCCTCCTCGACTGTGTTCTTATCGTTACGAGCGTCGTACCTCCGGAACTTCCCATGGAACTCAGTTTGGCCGTCAATACCTCTCTTGCTGCGCTCAGCAAGTATGCCATCTTTTGTACCGAGCCATTCCGTATTCCCTTTGCTGGTCAGGTCGATGTGGCTTGTTTCGACAAGACTGGTACTCTGACTGGTGAAGACCTGGTTGTTGACGGCATTGCTGGACTATCCCTAGGACAGAGTGGCGCTACAGTCGCTCCAGATGGTGCACACACAGATCTTGCAAAGGTTACGGATGTTGGCACCGAGACTACATTGGTACTTGCTTCTGCTCACGCTTTGGTCAAACTTGATGATGGTGAGACCGTGGGTGAACCCATGGAAAAGGCTACCCTTCAATCACTCGGATGGAAGCTTGGAGCCAAAGATACGCTTCAAGCGACAACGACTACAGCCAGATCTCACGCCGAGCTTGTTCAAATTCGCCGTCGTTTCCAATTCTCGTCCGCCCTCAAGCGCCAGAGTTCCGTAGCTACCGTCCTTGTCAACAACAACAAGACTGGACGCAAGGTCAGGAGCACAATCGCTGCGGTCAAGGGTGCGCCCGAGACCATCCGCAAGATGTTGGTCAATACACCCCCACACTACGAGGAAACCTTCAAACACTTTACGCGTAACGGTGGCCGTGTACTAGCCCTGGCATACAAGTTCCTATCTGACGACGGAGAGTGGGGTCAGAATCGTATCAACGACCTCAAGCGTGAGCAGGTTGAATCTGACCTACACTTTGCCGGTTTCCTTGTACTGCAATGTCCTCTCAAGCCTGACGCTATCGACGCTGTTCGCTCCCTGAACGAGTCCAGCCACCGTGTTGTCATGATCACCGGTGATAATCCCCTTACTGCCGTTCACGTCGCTAAGCAGGTTGAGATCGTTGATCGCGAATGCTATATCCTTGACGCACCTGAAAACGACGATTCTGGCGAGAAACTTGTCTGGCGTAGCGTCGATGACAAGCTTAGTATTCCTGTTGACCCAACTAAGCCGCTGGACGATGAGATCTTGAAAACTAAAGATATCTGTCTTACCGGATATGCGCTCTCTAAATTCACTGGCCAGCCTGGATGGAACCAAATCTTGCGATACACCTGGGTCTACGCTCGTGTTTCACCAAAGCAAAAGGAGGAAATTCTTCTTGGTCTCAAGGATCGTGGTTACACTACTCTTATGGCTGGTGACGGTACCAATGATGTCGGTGCTTTGAAGCAGGCTCATATCGGTGTTGCTCTTCTCAACGGTACCCGTGAGGATCTCGACAAGATTGGTGAACATTTCCGCAACACACAGATGAAAAATGTTTACGAGAAGCAGTGCAACCTCATGCAGCGCTTCAACCAACCTCAGCCTCCTGTCCCGATCATGATCGCTCATCTGTACCCGCCAGGCCCGACCAACCCGCATTACGAGAAGGCAATGGAGGCTCAAGCCAAGAGGAAGGGTCTTCTCCCTGCCGCTAATGGATCCGCTTCCACTGAACAGCCTGGTCAGGTCCAACCTGCTCAAACCGCTACCAACTTTGCCCAGCAAATGCAAGAAAAGATGATGGCCCAGGAAATGGAAGAGCTTGCCGGCGAGCCTCCGACCATTAAGCTCGGTGATGCCTCTGTCGCTGCACCTTTTACTTCCAAGCTTGCCAATGTCGTCGCCATCCCCAACATCATCCGTCAAGGTCGCTGCACGCTTGTTGCCACGATTCAGATGTACAAGATCCTTGCTCTTAACTGTTTGATCTCTGCCTACAGCTTATCAGTCCTCTACCTTGATGGCATCAAATTTGGCGATGGTCAAGTCACCATCTCAGGAATGATGATGAGCGTTTGTTTCCTCTCCATTTCTCGTGCAAAGACCGTTGAGGCTCTGTCAAAGGAACGTCCACAGTCCAATATCTTCAACACCTATATTATTGGATCCGTGTTGGGCCAGTTTGCCATTCACATCATCACCCTCATCTACGTCAGCCAATATGTGCAACGCGTCGAGCCCAAGGATCCCAACCCAGATTTGGAAAAGGAGTTTGAACCATCGCTCCTCAACTCGGCCATCTACCTGCTTCAGCTCATTCAGCAAATCTCTACCTTTGCCATCAATTACCAGGGTCGTCCTTTCCGTGAATCTATCCGCGAAAACAAGGGCATGTACTGGGGTCTCGTCTCCGTTTCTGGTGTCGCATTCTCCTGCGCTACTGAGTTCATTCCGGAGCTGAATGAGAGGCTCAAGTTGGTTCCCTTCACCACCGAATTCAAGATTATGATTACTACCATTATGGCTTTTGACTTTGTCGCCTGTTACATCATTGAGAAGAGCCTTAAATTCTTCTTCTCGGATAACAAGCCCAAGGATATTGCGGTCAGGCGTCCAGACCAGCTGAAGAGGGAGATTGCAAGGAAGCAGCAAGAGGAGTTGCAGGCGCAGAGGAAGAAGAACGAGGAGGCGGTTGCAATGGCTGAGGCCAAGGGGTTGATTAAGCGGTAGATGAGGGAAAGGGTAGAGTCGTACAAGGTTAATCTAACTAGGTAATATACAAGTATAGATGTCGTTTTCTCCGCTCAAATGTCGATTTCAATAATTCGTGACTCTATTTGGTTGTGTAAACGCACAGTTTTCGCACTACCACGCAACAAGACGTGTTACTCTCTATACGCCAATCACACCTTACTCGCGCGGCTCACAAACCACAATAAAAGGATGAACGGCAGCTACATCAAGTCAGCACAGAATCTCTGGAAAAAAAAACCACCAGATCAGCATCAAACTTACCACTAACAAAAAGCCGTCCGGTTTTGACATCGTGTCTCACCGTGGTACTCCCACTCAAAACCTTGGACTCCTTATCCTCAATCACCTTCTCAACCCTGTACTCTCCGCTCCTCGTACCTTGATCCCCCGTCTTGCGAATGCGCCAGATAGTCACGGGCGAAATCTCATTATACGGATCGGAAAACGACTTGCCGGTTTGCGCTAAGCTTGGGAACCCAGGGACGTACAAGTCGCCGTTTGCGTCGGGCGAGATGTTATCAAGGGGCATACCGACGTGGATCGTGTCGATCAGACGGAGCGTATTGTTGTTTTGGGGCTCGAGAGCAAAGACGCGGACTTGGCCGTCGATGGCGCTGGGCACGTAGTAGAGGCCGTCGAGGCCGCGGGTGAGGCCGTTAGGGAATTTGAGGTTCGGTCTGGGGATGATGAAACTTAGGGCCTGCTTGAGATAAGGCATGTAGGAGGGTGAGTCTGGCGTGGCAGTGGGTTTGAGAGTTGATTCGTCGACTTCGTTGCCTGAGTAGGCGGAGTGGCAGGGTCCGGTGCCAGAGCAGTATGCAACGTTTCCACCGCCGATGAAGTAGTCGAATTCTCGGCGCTGATGTTTTCTGTTAGCCCTTTTCTTGTGTGCTGGTGTCTTCCATATGCTAGACTGGGGGTTTCAAACTTA